TCAACAACAACAACTGTTTTCCTTTACGTACGAAACGCGTAGGACTGGTACAGTTTTGTTTTGGAGAAGCGTGTGGAAGAATATTTTCTACCTTTTAGTTTTTGATTTTTGATTTTTGAGTTTTATGCAAATTTGAAGTGTGCGGAAATTGTTTAAAAAACCATATATCATTCTACAATGCTACAGGGAGTTGCGGGGAGTTTGCATCTGATGCGTGTGACGCGTCGTAACTAGTTATTTATTCCGAATCAAACCGCACATGCCAAACAAAACAACACCGAACAGAGCGGAGGTTTCCAAACAAAACCAAACGACACAAAACCACACGTCTCGTGTTGTTTCGGAATAAAACCAAACGAAACGAAACCACACGATTTCGTGTCGTTTGGTTTTGTTTCGTTTGGTTTCGTTTGGTATGGTTTCGTTTTGTTTGGTTTCGATATATTCTAAAAAATTGTTCGTTTGGTTTCGATTGGTTTCGATATATTGAAAAATCGTTCGCCTCGAAAAGGAAGGCGCAGAACCAACAACACGCAATATCTTCGATTGTTTTATATATTGAAACCAAACAAACGATTTTTGAATATATCGAAACAAATCGAAACCAAACAAGCAAATTTTTAGAATATATCGAAACCAAACGAAACGAAACGAAACCAAACAAAACCAAACAAAACGAAACGAAACAAAACAAAACAAAACGAAACCAAACGAAACGAAACCAAAAAAACGAAACCAAACAAAACAAAACCAAACGAAGCAAAACCAAACGAAACGAAACCAAACGACACGAAACCAAACGACACGAAATCGCGTGGTTTTGTTTCGTTTGGTTTTATTCCGAAACAACACGAGACGTGTGGTTTCGTGTCGTTTGGTTTCGTTTGGAAACCTCCGCTCTGTTTGGTGTTGTTTCGTTTGGCATGCGCGGTTTGATTCGGAATAAATAACTAGTTACGACGCGTCACGCGCATCAGATGCAAACTCCCCGCAACTCCCAGGGAGTTGCGTGTCGTTTGGTTTCGTTTGGAAACCTCCGTTCTGTTCGGTGTTGTTTCGTTTGGCATGCGCGGTTTGATTGGGAATAAATAGCAAGTTACGACGCGTCACACACATTAGATGCAAACTCCACGCAACTCCCAGTGCGGTATATTATTATTAATGTTCATTATTGCACAAATTATATCTATGATCGTACCGTAGACTCTTTTTCGTCTTCTAGTCGGAGTGTAATGAAATCGAACGGAGGCACTAATGCGAGAGATTATATTTGCCCTGTAGTGTACGTTGTTTCAGTTCCTCGTCAAGTTTCCAGGCATTGCTCTCGATTCCATTTACATTGTATATAATGTGTTCAAGGCGCCGAAAGAATCCTGAATCGTCCAACAGCTGGTTCCACAAACCAGATATTATGCAGTAATTGCCATCATACGGAGCCATGTGATGCTGCGCATGTGGCTGCCTCGCAATAAGCAAACCACAAGTTTGTAACCCGTTGACGATGTTGGGACACTCGCTCTTTGTCATGTGTGACCATTTGTGAAACTCCTGCGAAAGGATCTCCATGATGCAAAAGCAGACGATGAAGAAAGTGACGAAAGGACCACTCAATAGACTCACAAGACCGACGGTGCCTGCGCCGAAAGGAATACAAAGCTTATAGACATTGTTACAAAATCCTCGGTCTGTGATGGTCCATGGTGCCGAATGATGCCCCTGAAAGGCAGCGATAACCCCTCCCATGATTGGCTGACGACAACATTTGAGTGATAGATCGATTGCTCAACATTTGCATAGAAAAGAACCTACCGTGCGCCCATTTCCATAGTTATCGACAGACCAATGCAATATGCCGCTACCAAGATCAGCCAGCACCCAACTTGAAACTAATAGAGCTGAACATTCTACCAGCGACACGGCGAAGTTGCCTGAATTTCTTTGAAGGATTTCGGTGAAAGCGCCGGAAGCAAACGCTGCGTGTGCCAAGAAAGTTAGACAGACAAATAAGACCTGCCATTGCTCTGTCTCGAGATTATCTCCTTCAACAACCACTTGGGCTAGACATATGACAAGATTTGACCATTAGATGAAATGTGGTCAGAAGAAACGAATGAAGCAGCGCCAGTAGCCAACACTCACCAACTTTTCCTTTTGGCCGTTCAAGGCCCGAGCCCTCAAGCCCAAAAACAAAGCCATCATCAAGAAAATTCCTTCGTCTGCTCTCCAGCTCATTCGCGTCAAATGAAGTGATACCTGAAGTGACATCTTCCATCTCACTGTTTACGTCATACGAAGATGAATGAGGAAGGGTAGACATCTGAACTGAACGACTTCTCGGCGAAAAAGCATGTACTTGAACAGTACCGATAAGGATAAGCGCGGAAAAAAGTGTGATTCTACCGGAAGCGTTGATTGTGATCATGCTTTCGATCTGAAGAATCAAAGTAACTATGATGTAACCTGAGACCAGAAGGCTCGATTCAGGTGAGTGAGTGAGTCAGTCAGTTCAGTCAGACGTGTGCGTGGTGGAAAGATGATCCATTGCTAGCTAGTAGTGGAACCTGTACTCACTGCAATGTTTCACAAAAATCAAAATGTTTGATAAAACAAAATGAGTAAAATCAACTAGTAAGGACATGGCTATATCTCGCATCTGCAAACATGTTTCAGGTCGGAGCAAATAAAGTAATGGTGGTCATGTAAGCCCAGGAAAGGAGCACAGCCGCTAGACGGACTGTACTACCACCGCCACGAATTTTTTTATAGCGAAGGCCGATTTTAAAACGGCAACGCTGCACAGCATTTCCCATGAAGTCCACTGGCGAAAGCACCTCGCTTCTGATATGGTTGAGCAGAAGGTAAGCTAATCATACAGAGTCTCATTTCACCACCATCTAGATCATCGAGCCCTTCGAAAGGTATGAAAATCATCTTCTTTTGAGGGTGCCCTCATCAACATCTTGCAGTTAGACGAGAAGAAGCTTCGTGATGTGATCTAGATATCAATTACAAGTTTATATGCGTCTACAAACATCAGCCAATACCCTTATTGCCGATGCTACCTACCAAAATGATGGTTATGGCATTCTAACTGATACGGATGTGTCGAAGTTGACAAGCTCTTCAAATGTTCTCCTTGTCCAAGTCATCAAAATATGGATGATTGAGAGACTCCTTAGCCGTGATACGATCTTTGGGGCTGTACGCAAGGAGTTTCTCTAGCAAATCAAGACCAAGATGATCCAAGTGATCAGTGACATTCTTGGCAAAAGGGGTTCTGTACCATTTTGGAAATGCAGTGTTCCAATCCTGCAGCTGGGTAACACCTGACCACATCTCTTCGGTTGGAGTTCCTAATTGCCGAAAAATCTTGTACAGCTGGTCAATCTCTGAATCACCGGGGAATAATGGACGCTTCGTCACCATTTCGACAAAGATGGTTCCAATAGCCCAGACATCGACTGGTGGAGCATATGTCTGGGACCCTAGGAGGATTTCAGGCGGCCTGTACCAAAGCGTCACCACTTCATGTGTAAGTGGACGAATGGGAGGACAAAATGCTCTAGCCAAACCAAAATCTGCTAGCTTCAAGCGCCCATCACGAGTGACTAGGAGATTTTGAGGCTTCAAATCGCGATGCATAACCCCCCGTGCATGACAAAATGCAAGCCCACGACAGCATTGAAAAAGGTATGACTTTACCAGAATTGGTGAGAGCAAACCACTGCAGGATTCCATATACTTCTTCAAGTCTTTGTCGAGGAACTCGAATACCAAGTAGAGTTTGCCATCTTCCTGCACACAATCTTTCAATTCTACAACATTTTCGTGGTTCAATTCCCGAAGAAGACTGATCTCGCGCAATGCAGTGGATGGGATTCCTTCATCTTCAACTTCAAGGCGAATCCGCTTCAACGCAACAATTTGATCCGTCTGGCGATCCCGGGCTTTGTACACAACTCCATAAGTGCCTTCTCCTAGCGCAGAATCTGGCTTTTCAATTTTCTGATAGCTGTGATAACAAGAAGCAATCGTGAGTCGTCATGTTTGAGTCCGGTAACCTTGGGACCAAACAAACAACAGTGCCTCGCCCAGCATCAATGGAATTGTGGATTGATGCAGACTGCGCAGCTTGTCTAAGACGCAGTCGAATGAAAACCTACCGCTCCATGTTGCCACGATAGTAAAATGGCTTGTGGATTGGAACTTTTTACGAAAATTGCCGTTATTTTCTTCTACGTATTGTACAGTATGGGTCAGATTTTGAAAACATTCCGAGCACGCCGGCAATCTAGCAATGACATAAATGGACTAGTTCGAACCAGAAAGACTACTGGAACGGCCGGGAACTGTGGTCCGATTAGTCATTTCACACGCAATAGCAACTTTACAAAGGGAATCTTGCAGGCGGAATCTTGAAAAATCAATGCAGCGACCAGCTCATCCGCGTCCACAAACAGTC